TGGAGAAGGAGCAGGGCCTGCCCACGCCCCTCCTTCCTGACTGGGCAGAGGAAGCCCCTGCCTCTCTGATTGTTCCCCGGGAGCCAGGAAGCTGATAAAGACCCAGCGGGAACGTGCTGGCCCTTCCCGAGTCCAAGGCGCCAGGCCCTGGTTTTAGGACTTGGCACTGGACCCAGGACAGCCTGTCTGTCCCCAAGTCACAGCCCCTGGGACTCAACACTGTCCCCTTCTGAGGTCACGGCCACACAGATGGGACTGGAAAGTCTCCCCTGGTAGGCAGCTCCATTCCCGTTCACCACAGCCTAAAACCACCCCCTCTTGCTGGGGAAAACCAGCCCTAGGACTCGGCCAGGAGGCCCAGCAGCCCCACAGCAAGGTCTGCCCATGGCCCAGCAGGTCCCAGGGGGTGGGAATGTGTGTCCTGGAGTCAGGCTTCCTGGGTCTGAACCCTGGTCTACACTTAGCAGCTGTGTAACCTTTGCAACTTCGGTGTTATACCTTGGAGTTCTTTTTTATTTTTTTGAGAAGTTTTTGCTACAGGGCGTGTGTGCTCGCCAGAAAGAGAGACAGAAAGCGAGAAATCACCCCCAGGGAGATGGCCACACTCCAATCCCTTCTCCATTCTCCTCTCGGGAACTTGGGCATGCACGCACGCGCACCCGGTGTGAGTATACGCCACCGGGTCCAGGACTCGAACCGCGGTTGACTACATGGGAGTCCAGCCACATAGGCTAACTGCTGGTCCCTTGGAGTTCTTATCTGTAAAACAAGCACGATAAGAGTAACCACCTCTCCTGCAGTTAATTCATATGCAGATAAAACAATTGGCGTCAGGTGACCTACAAATGCCAGCTCCCTGTGAGCTGGCATGGTTACTAGTTTGAAGCATTGCTGTATTCAGCACTGGAAGGGGTGAGCTGCTGGACTGTCCCTGCTCAGCCCGGATGGACAGTGTCTCCTGGCTCACTCCAGGGGCCCAGCACCCCATTCCCCTCCCTGCCAGGCATGGCACTCCCACCTGCCACAGCTGTGGGCTCTTGTAGCCTGGAGATTTCTGTTCTCTTGTTACAGACAACTTCGCGGTTTTGGATAAATTAATTGATCTGCTACGAAGAAGTGGCAGACTCGAAGACGCCCCTGCCTTCTTTGAACTGGCCAAGAAGACGTCCAGCCGGGTGCCTTTGGAGCCAGGGTTCAACTACTGCAGAGGCCTCTACTGCTGGTGAGTGGCGCGTGGGTGTGTCGAGCGGCAGGCGTGCAGGGGAGGCCCTCCCTGGAAGGTTGGCCAGACTCTTGCTCAGCACAGGGGAGTGGAAATCTAGCCTCTGGCATGGCGAGCTGCGGACCTCGGCCATCCAGCCCCTGCTCTGTGCAGACTCAGAGTGGGCCCGTGTGTCCCCACACGCCCGGGGTCTCCGCTCCCCTTGCTGACTGGGTTTTTCCTCCGTAACAGGCACACGGGACAGCCCAACGAAGCCCTGACGTTCCTAAACAAGGCACGCAAGGACAGCACGTGGGGCCAGAGCGCCACCTCCCACATGGTGCAGATCTGCCTGAACCCAGACAACGAGGTCCTGGGAGGAGGCGCTTTTGAGAGCCTGGTGGCCGAGGGCAAGTAAGGGCCTGCAGGGGCAGAGGCCAGCTGCCGGGGCAGGCTGGGGAGGCCGAGACTGCTGAGGGCCATGCCTGGGGGCGGGCAGCCCGTGTTTAACACCCCCGCAGCTTCTCCAGCAGGAAGGAGTTGGAGCAGCATGGCGTGCGCACAGCGGAGAAGCTGCTGCGGGACTTCTACCCGCATTCGGCCTCTGGCCAGACGCAGCTGCGCCTGCTGCAGAGCCTCTGCCTGCTGGCCACCAGGGAGAAGACGAACGTGGAGGCGGCCCTGGGCACCTTCATCGAGATGGCACAGGCCGAGGTGCACCTGCTGGCGGAGACCGTGGGCAGCGGGGGTGGAGGCCGATGGCCAAGCCACCGACGCCCCCTTCCCGGCCTGTGTGCAGAAGGACAGTGTCCCTGCTCTGCTGGCCATGGCTCAGGCCTACATGCTCCTGAAGCAGACTCCCAAGGCGCGGACACAGCTCAAGCGCCTGGCCAAGGCCCCCTGGGTGCTGGCCGACGCCGAGGACCTGGAGAGGAGCTGGCTCCTGCTGGCCGACATCTACTGCCAGGGCGGCAAGTTCGACCTGGCCACGGAGCTGCTGCGGCGTTGCACGCAGTACAACAAGGCGAGGGGGCACAGGGACAGCTGGAGGCCCTGGGGGAGGGCAGGTGGCTCCGGGCGCGCCAGAGTGTGCAGGCTTCCGGGCAGCGCGGCGCGGAATAGGAACCAGACTGAAAGAGGAAGGCCGGGAGGGGCGCGTGGGCAACAGACCAGGCTAGCAGTCGGGAACAGGGCCGTGGGGCATGCAAGAGGCACAGGAGGTCACGGGTGCGGCCATGCCAGGAGTGGGTAACACACCGCTGCAGACAGAGGAGGGAGAGTGTCATGGTGCCCAGGGCTCTGGGCAGGAGCAGGGTTCGGGGGTCTGATTGCCCCATGGACAGGAGTAGGGGGAGAGGGGTGTCAGCCTTAAGATGAGGGGGTCCCAGTTCACCCTTCACAAAGACGTGGGGAGGGTCCCTTTGCAGTTGGGTTAATGCGGCTCACCACCGTCCCTTGCCACCTGCTGGTCCCACCCCTGCTGGCCCCCGGGGACTGGTTTTGGCCTCCTCCCGCAGAGGCTCTGACAGGCTTTCCCCGCAGTCCTGCTGCAAGGCCTACGAGTACATGGGCTTGATTATGGAGAAGGAGCAGTCCTACAAGGATGCGGCCTCCAACTACGAGCTGGCCTGGAAGCACAGTCACCACGCCAGCCCCTCCATCGGTGAGGCAGCCGGCCCAGGCACACGTGGGTGGGCGAGGGCAGAGGGGCGGGACGGCCCCCCACCCCTACCCCAAAGCTCTAGGCCCGCACCCTGGCTCTCGTGGGAACAGGGACATTCTCAGGTCCTGGAGTGCCTCCACCTCTATTCTCTCTGGCCCCGGACAGGCTTCAAACTCGCGTTTAACTACTTGAAGGACAAGAAATTTGTGGAGGCCATCGAAGTCTGCCACAACGTAAGCGACCATGTGGACAGGGAGGGCCAGGCGTGGCGCCGGGGACGCGCACCCGCTGCCTCACGCTACAGCCCTCTCTCTGTTCCAGGTTCTCAGGGAGCACCCCAACTACCCCAAGATCAGAGAGGAGATTCTGGAAAAGGCCCAAGGGTCCTTGAGGCCCTAGCTGCGGTGGAAGGTGGCCGGGCCTGCAGCAGCCATCGACCTACACAGAGTTTTGTAGCGGGAGGGAAGTGGGTCAGAGAAGGGATTCCAAACACGACGTCCTCTTCCTACCTCTCACACCACCTGCGCCTTATTTTGAATGATGCCTCCCCTATCCGAGGGGCTCCCTCCCACC